GGGGAACGGCGAATGAAGATCGGGGAGGGCGAGGGAGGAACGCGCAAGGTCTGGCTGGAGGCCACCGCCCGAGCCGGTGGGCCCACCTGCCCGAGGGGTTTTCAAGCTCCGTCCGCGCTGGCGATTCAAAGGCGGCCGGCCGCTGGGTGGGCAGCTCGGCGCGCCACAACGGCCAGGCGTGGCGCCACGCGCCTGCACGTGACGCAACCGGGGCCGTGGCGCCACGCCGTCGTTGTGGTCTCTCCCGGCCCTTCCGGCCCCCCCGGCGGTTGGGATGGGGCCGACACGCGACACACCGGCCTGTGCGCCTCTGCCCTCGCGGTGGGGCGATCGGCCCCGGGGCAGCGAGATCCCGGCTCCCTGCAGGCAGGTGTCGGGGCGATCCCGGCTCCCCGCAGGCACATGTCGGTGGGATTTTCGCGCGCCCACAGGTGCACCCACTGGCGCACGCCTTGCGGCGCCGGCCGCGCCCAGGGCCCCCCGGGCTTGGCCAGCCCCATCCTCTCGCGGGAGAGACCCCCCCCCGCCATGCCGACCCGCTGGTCACACGCATTCTCGCCACCAGGGCGCGACGCCTCGCACGGGTGGGGGCGTGGGCGCGCGCAAAATGCGGGGCTCGCCACTGGGGGCCACCAGCACCATGGCAGGGAGCACGCGCGCACATGGTTGAGGGTGCCCGGGGCCGCCCCGGCGCGCGGAGTGGCCCGATGTAGCCGCCCGGGGGAGGCGGGGCTGGCGCCTCTCGCGGGGCACGATCATGTATTTGTGTGTGTTGGGACAGGGAGGGGAGATACATCTCTGTGCGTGTGATGTTATGTTTGCATGCGAGGAGGACGCATCCCGCCGCGTCGGGGGAGTGCGGCGCATCCCCGGTGTTTGGTGGCCCGGCCGGCAGGCGAAAGCACGTGTCGGTGCGCGAGAAGATCGCAGTGCATACTACCCCCCCCCCCATGCGAATAGAGAGACACACGGCACATGCAGACACGCAAAAGAGCCAGCAGGGCAGAAAGAACCATGAGTGGGGCCATTTTCATATATATTCGCCTCCCCCCGGCCGGTCCCCCCCCCCCCTGTGGGACGGACACGCGGGCGTGGCCTGGAGGCGGGCGGGCGGGCGGGCGCAGGCTCGCACGGCTGGGAGCGGCCGCCACCTCGCCAGCAGGGGCCGGTCAGGGGGAGAAGGGCACAGAGAGAAAGAGCGGAACACCGGGGGAGCGCGCGGGGGGGGGGGGACAGGGCGGCAGGCGCCCGGCCTTACGGCGTGGCCATCCAATGGTCATACATGATGCACGTGGTGCCGAAGGTGGCCACCGCCATGCCGACGCTGAGGACCATGCGCCGGCTCCAGATCAGGGCCACCGAGGCCAGGCCCAGGCCGGCGAGACACAGCAGGGCGCCATACATGTTGAACCAAATGGTCAGGGCGCCGAGGGAGAAGCACAGCATGCCGGCCAGCAGGTAGGGCCACTTGTGCACGGAGTACAGGCACCGGCGGATTTCGCGACGCGCGGCCGGGTCCACGCCGAGGATCTCCCGGCGGTCGAAGCGCTGCGGCAGCAGGTGCAGGGCCACCAGCGACACGGCCACATGGAAGGGGGTCAGGAGATCGCGCTCCGGGCGCAGGCCCTCGGCCTCGGCCCACGGCAGCACCAGTGCCACCAGCTGTGCCAGGAAGCCCAGGCCGAACACCTGGGCCGAGAAGGGCTGGATTGTTTGGAAGACGCGCGAGCCAATGGCCGACATGATCTCTTTTGGTGTTGGCTCTTGTGGGGAATGCCAAGCGGCAGGGGAGGCAGGAGAAGGAGGAGCGGGGACGGGGGGCGGCGGCGGCGGCGGCAAGAGCAGGGGAGGAGGGGG